AACTGCGAAATTTTTGAAGCTACTCTAAAACTCGATTGGTCATTTTAAAAATTACCTAAACTACCGACGATATACTCGATTTACAGAATGACAATTCTTTGATTTACTATTTATATAACATTAGTCATCACATGATAGTGTGTGAGCCTTTAGGTACATTTTGGAGGAATTATCTATCCAGCGAGCATCGTTTAAGATGATTATGTCTTCGTATGTAACATTTAGTCAGTTTAGCAATGCTTATTTCGACTTGCTCTGCTAGTTAATGACTGTGAAGATCTAAGTAAAACTAGATCAATAGATCAGATTAGTCATGTATGAAAACTGTTAAACTTGCTCAGAAAATGTCTTTGTTTTATTACTTAATCTTTGATTTTGATTTTCATCTGGAATTTAAATTTATACAAAAACTTTTTATTCAGTATGTTATAGAAGGTATAACATGGGCGGAGAAACAACTTTTGGAAGCTGTCGGACTACATGAACCACCGGTTGAAAAACTTCGTCAACAATGTACAGAATATATTAATTCTGCTTTGATACCATTGAAAGCTTATGCTAAACAATATGAACGTTTTATGGAGCTGATAATTTTGGATATACCTACACATTTAAAGTAAATAACATTTTCATATTTGAATATTGTATGACTTTTGTAAATAAGTGTCTGAATTTATTCATTATCAATTGAACAAACGAATCTGTTTCTCGTTCGTTTAACTCTTATTCAATACTTATTGGGCGGAGATTTGACCATAGCCCTATAATTGCATGGAACTAACGTACCGTAACCATATACAATAATAAACTTTCGACTGCTGGTAAGCCAACTGACCAGTAAAGTGAAAAACCTAATCTTTTACGTGATATAAAGTGATGAGATAAAAGATAAGGTCGTTGGTGAGATTACTTCAAGGGGGCACTGTGAAGAAAATGCTTTCTAGACACACTGATGTAATTTCAATTTAAAAAATGTAAGAACTCAAATTTTAAAACTAGAAATAATGATTACTAGTGGTATGAAATGTAGATTTTTTCAACTCATATAGAAGTTATATGTATTCTCAAATACTTTTCCTGTTTTTATAATAAATTGAGCAACTGGAAATTATGTTGTCATCTCAAGAACAGAAATCTGAACACATTGCCTACACTTTTTATCCATCTTTCTCAATATAAATCTTTGCTTTCTGCACAAATTTCAATACCAACAGGTCACCAAACCTATGAAAATACTTTGATCCCCTGACCAGTATTATAAGTGGACACTAAATTTGAAATCTATCAACAATGAAACTTATGATTTTAAAATCTTCACTTCTTATGTTATCATATTGAACAAGTTACAGCGGGTGGGATTTTTTCTATAAATGTCAAACTTTTGGTCTTATTGTAATTTCGTTTTTTTTTAATTATAAAAGTGAAACACGTATATGATACTTCATACGGAACTGATAAGTTTGGATAAGATGGAGAGTTCATGTTTTCTCTAACTTTGTGTAACATTCTATAACATTATTTACATATTCCTCGCACAAAGATTGTGATATGAGTTTTATTCTCAATCTTACCTTTTAGTCAATAAGATATTGGGCTTATATTTACCAGTGTGACATTATTTTACATCAACATGTTTGCCCTAATAGACTGTAAATTTCATCCAGTATGACAAAATTGAACTTTTGCCCAGTTTTACAGTTATATTCATTGTATAATTCTGTGCGAATACCCCATGTTTTATAGTGACGCTGTTTATTCTCACACTTATACGATGTTTACTAACTAATCTAGTGTATTTTATATCACTCTATACAAGCAAATGTATTTGATTTAATGAGGATTTGATTTTGGACGACATATTTTGAAGATGTATTTTGTAGAGTCAATAAATCTTCATTTATTTATACCAACCAGTCTTTGTGTTTTCACTCTGCAACATACTAATTGCAGCGGTTTCTGCTCCGAAGTACTAGCAGTAGGATCATGGATGTAATTGATCGTACATGATGTGTCTAACCGAAGCGATGCTAGACACAACAATGTCTCAAGTGTTGGTAGTGGCAGGTATAATACGGTCAGTCCTTTTTGCACAACAGTGAAACTATAAGTAAACAGCAAAATACAAATATGTTTGAAATATTTCATATTATTTATAAAAATAGACTGACATTTTGAAGTGAATATAAGTCTTTATACTGACCTATAACTGCTGTGGATAATCATATAACTAACTGATGAACATTGTGATGATATTTACTTCAGTTAGCTTCTTTTACTACAACCAATAAATATACAGTTTAAACAAAATACGAGCACAGATTGCTGTGACATTCTTTCGTTACACTTATCAGAGCAAATCTTCTAAATAGTTCACTGAATCAACTATTAATGGAAATAAACAACAATACATAAGTAAGCTAAAAGTGGATATGAGCAAGAGGACACTGTAAATAATAATCTGTCAACCGAATCGGAATAATAAATTGTCTGTTAACAATTTCAAACTTAACAGAAAGTTAACGATAAGAGGAAATATTTGATAGTTAATTAATAAAACATGAAATCATTATGCACAAATAAAATTTTAGAAAAAATAGTCTTCAAAATATGTTAATTTCTATTTCAATCGTCCTTCACCACTTTTATTTGTATGAAGTGGTTATTCCTGCCAGGCTTAAGTTTAATCATAGTTTCTGCAGTTAGAAAAATCAAATTTAAGGAATCTTAGTTTCTGATTAAAAATGAAGATACATGTAAGTCTACTAATTAATAGATCTATCATCCTATCATCATGTGGTAAACATGTTAACCACATGTCAAAATAAAGGCTGGAATTTTTTATTCTAGCCACAGGTAGATTTTTTGAAAACGATTTTTCTGTGAAACTACAAGCTTCAATGGTCACGAGAAATCAGCCTACGCGTAATCCCTCATGGAGTTCCAGGTGAACAAAAGTGAATGTTCCTAAACTAAGATACGACAGCCGTAAGATATATGCATATTTGAATAGTGTATAATCTAGTGTTTTCTACAATTTCTACGATTGAACAACATCTGGAACTCGAAACAACTATCAACAAACACCAAAGTCACAATTTTCAATACAAATGTCAGGACAATTTTACTGTATGAAGCGGAAACTTGGAGAACTACGAAAGCCATCATCCAGAAGATACAAGTATTTATTAACAGTTGTCCACACAAAACACTTTGAATCCTTTGGCCAGACACTATCAGCAACAATCTACTGTGGGAGAGAACAAACCAGATTCCAATCGAGGAAGAAATCAAGAAGAAGCGCTAGGAGTGGATAGGACACATATTAAATAAAGCAACCAACTGCGTCACAAGACAAGCCCTCACTTGGAATCCTCAAGGTCAAAAGAATAGAGGAAGACCGAAAAACACATTACACCGAGAAATAGAAAAAGATATAAGAAGAATGACCAAAAATTGGACAGAACTGGAAACGGAAGCCCCTGGACAGAGTAGGTTGGAGAATGCTGGTCGTTGGCCTATGCCCCACTGGGGATAACAGGCGTAAGTAGGTAAGCAGTGTTTCTCATATTTTTTTTATACCTTTTTCAGTGCTTCCTATTTAAATAAACATTGATTTTTGTATTTCAATAAACTTATTTCTAGCCATGTTCTCTATTTTTTCATCCACTTATATTATTTTTAATAGTGCATATGAATCGAAAAATCCGAGTGCATTAGAAATAAAACAGAAAATTGAAGAATGTTTAGAAGAAAGTGAAAATGTTATGCAAATCATACCAAGCTTTATTATCATTGGTCCATTTTACGTTAATGCTGAACCTGTAAGACAAAGCTTATCAAAGAAACATAAAGCATTGGCTAGTGCCTTTTTAGAATTATTAACCAAACTATTAAGGAAACAAACTGATTCGGTAAGTCGCCTTATTTTATAAAAAAAAAAGAATAAATCACAGTTCACAGACAGTTATCTAGCAGTGCTGTCTCAGCAGACTATAGTTATTCATCCTATGGAAATTATTATTTGTGCAAACTTCACGGATGATGCGAAACAGTCGACTAAGCAAATACCTAACTTGTAACTAATCATATCACTACTGTCAAAGACTACTGAGGAGATTCGGTCACTGATTCTCCAGTACATGTTCGAACTTCAAAGACTGATCCCTTCATAAGAGTATGGGTAGAATGATTTAACCTTTAAGGACTTCAAGTTCACTTAAGAAATGAAATTGTGGATTTTTAGTCGAATCCATGTCTGTAGTTGTTAAAGTCTTTTGTGTAGGGGTACTATGAGATACAGTGATTTACCATAAATGCATCTTATTTGCTTTCTCTCTGGCTATATTTATTCGTTAAACATAGAATTCGTAGAACTCAAGTATTTCAGTTGTGTTGATAGGGATCAATACAAAGGTTTGACTTGATAAGTTCAAATAAATTGAACATTGGGTGGATTGTAATTAATAAAAATTATAATAAAATATATTTTTCTAATGTTTCGTGACTCAGTGTAAGCCACTGCGGCTTTTTAATCTATGAAGCAGTGGCATGCACTGAGTTACGAAATGTCAAGAAAAAATTTAACTTTTCTACTCATTGGGATACTAGGAATATGTTATTATTATTATTATCATTATCATTATTGTTATTATTACTATTTTAATTGTGGTTTAATTTATGTATGAGCTTACATTACATTGAACAATTATTCTTCAGAGTCAGTTTTTAAAAATAGTTGTTATTGAAAAATAGATGTTAAACAGTCCATTTGAATTGAGCGTTGTGCTGAGTCATCGGTTAGTTTCAATGCTGTAATATACGCTTCCAATAAATTAGCATAACCTGGTATTTAGGTGAGAGAAGACTAAAAAGGATTCGATTCTCGATTGCAACATTCCGGATATGCCCTGCTAATGAATCCCATACCAGGACGAAATGGCCATCCAATGCTTCCATGTTTTTTATGTCGGTCTGACATTGGTCAGTCCATGATTTCATTGAAACAAATAAGCAGCCTAACCGGAAAGTTCAAATCGAAATCCATCATTGAACTTGTTCATCCACACCAAAAACCCGTGATAATTAAGCCCTTCAAAGTCTCCCATCGTTCATTTGCCCTTGAACCGATATGTTTAGTTCACCCACCCAATTACCTTTGTCTCTTGAAAATAAATTTCCCTGCAGGAGTTGTGGTAGAGTGGGGATGCATTACCTCCCTCTTGAAATGTTGTGGTACCCCAGAGATTTGTTGTTTCAAGCGGCTGATACCTTTAGTGACTCTATTCATATTCTGAGTGTCTTACCTGAATGTTAAAACTGTTCGATTTAATAAAATGCTCCTGTTGATAGTGCTTGTGAAGATGAATACTTTCGTTGTGTCTAGGCTTTACGTCAGATACAAACTCAAACTTGAAATAATTATCCAAAATTAGAGTGCGCAGAAACTGATCATATTCCTTCCAAACATACAACCTATATATATGAGAGTTCAGTTAATTCACTACTATGTATTCAATGTGTATTAATCCTATCGCGAAAAAAAATAAACACAATTCACTTTAATATTTATTGTTACTTATTTATCATCACTATAAGGTTTCAGAAGAAATCAAAGCTATGGCTACAAAATTATATGAAAAACCAAATTCCATTGAAGAATTAACTGATCTACGTGAATGGATTTCTGCTATACCAGATAAATTAGAAGAATATCAAGAATTTATTGATAAAATAGTGTCCGATTATGAGTTAGTTGATTTATTCTTCTGTAATTTATCAGCTGATGATTTTAATGCAAAGTGAGTTGGTTGTGTTTTTTTCTTTGTTATTTTTATATTGATTTTATAAATTTATATTGTCACTTGTTGATATTCTGGATCGCAGTGACGTCCTAGATTACATTAGCTACCATAAATTCCGTTTAGGCCTAACTTACTTACTTACGCCTGCTACCTTTAATGGAACATGGGCCGCCGACCAGCGAATTATCTTTCTGGTTAGCGGCTTTTTCAGCGAGTTGGATTTCTACGGGATAAGGTCGCTAACCGCATGCTCAACCCTCCTTTTTTATCCGGGCTTAGGACCGTCAGAAACCCTAAAAGGGCTTCAGGTGAAGTTATAGATAGAACTGATAATTACTAAAAATAATACTAGTTATCGGATCGTAACCTGCTTACTTACTCATTGATAGTTGGCTCTAGATAGTTCGCATTTAATGACAATTTAACAAATTATTGATTATTTTAGGTTGTAATTTATTTGTTTTATTATAGGTTGATGTTGATAATGTTCAATGACTAGGTAAAGAGATTTAGACACTATTTTTGAAAAAAATATTTCTGATTTTTTGTTTTTAATGTAACAACACTTCATGAATCGAATCAGTTTATTGCATCATGAACTTTTGTAAGTCACAAACAATAATGTTCACTGGAATTTTCTTAACTATATTAAGATATGATTGAAGGGATCTGTTATTATTGAATATATATATATATATATATATATATATATATATATTCCAACTTTCCACTGGATGACCTAATATGAAGCGATTATTCATACTGATGAATTCAAACAACAGACAACACCGGATTCATACCATTTTGAAAGTCGTGTTATGTATCACATCACATGACAATGTTTGATTATATTTAAATTCTATCCATAAATTATGTAGTTGTAGTAGAGTCTGAGATAAAAATTATTGAAGCATATTTTTGTGCTCAATGCCTAACTTGATTATTGCATTCTTTAGCGCTTTAAATGTATTTGAAATTTTGCATGCACGTTACTGTTAAATCAGATCTACATCAGGTGATTCGGGTTGACAACTGTCAGTCAAACGAAACTGGCACAGTTGACTTTATTGATGAATGTTAACTGGTAGAGAATCTAGATTCAAAATTCCTCATTAATTACTCAAAACTACTGAATATATTTGAGAAATTCTTGTATAATAATGTAAAGCATTTACCTAAGCATCATCCTCTTTATGCTTACAAATTTACTAGTATATATATTTATATTTACTGTTTCATAGAAGAAGAAAAAAACGCATTTTATAATTATTATTAAAATATTTGCCTAGATGGACTGCCATTGGTTGGCCGCATAAACTTCGAGAAATAATTATTCACGTGGAAACAAATCTTGAAGAAGATGAAGAACGTTTTCTGAAACTTCAAACTTCTGATTCTGCTTCATTTGCTGATAAGATTGGTTCACTAGGAGTAAGGTCTTTTTTTCCTCGATTAGTTTGATGAATAGAATTTGAAATAAATAATAATAATAATAATAAAAACTAAGCAATATATTTACACAACTCTCGGAATTCTCCTTTAGATTAGATTCATAATTAATTTCAAGCTGGTTTATGGTATGAGCTGACGACAGTAGGAAAACTATTACAAACCCAATTCACTGGCTTTTTAAGTGTTGGTTGTATGCACTGTTGTCATGTTAGTCAATAAATTTGAAGAGGAAATCTCAGAATAAGACGGGACATCCTTTCGAAACAAATAAATTTTTTCATTGATTTTTCAGGTGACGTATTTTTGTAATGCAGTTCACTTTAAAACAAGAATAAATCTCTGCAAATCAATTACTCAACTATTATTAATTATTCCTAAGTGATATAAGTTTTCGTCTGATGACTGAAACTTGTATTACCCAAAAATTCAATTCAAATTAACCAATATTTAT